CTCCACAGCACACAGCCACCACCACCAACCTATAAGCTACCAATTTCTTCCCTAGTTTAAAATCATCAGTTATTTTCCTTGCCATTTGGAAGTTCTGTAATTACAGCTTTCTCTCTTTTTGCTTTGTAGCTGTCCCCCTGTTATAAATTGAATCCTCTGGCTCCCTATTTTCAATCTTGGAGGTTTGTTTTACTTGGGATACTTGTATGTCTGGGTTGAATTCTGGGTGTTAATTGCATGTATGTCAGTTTCAGATTTTTGTATGCTTTTGTTGCTTCTCAGTCCAAAGGACTCCCTTTAGTATTGTTTGTAAAGTTGGTCTGGTTATTACAAATTCCTTTAATTTCTGTTTTTCTGGAAGTGTTCTAATTTTGTTGTCACATTTTAGGGTCAGCTTTGCTGGGCATATGATTCTTGGTTGGCAGTTTCTTTCTGTAGAATTTTGTATACGTCTTCCTAGTGCCTTCTGGCCTGCATGGTTTCTACTGAGAAATAGAGTGTAATCTGGTTTGCTCTCCTTTGAAGGTAATTTTTTTTTATTCTCCTGAACTGGTCTTAGAATGTTTTCCTTTTCTTTGAATTTGGAGACTTTATGACATGTCTTGGTGATGTTCTTTAGGGGTCTGTCCTATTAAGGGTTTGCTGATCTTCTTGTCTTACATGTTATTTGGGACATTTTCTTCCAACAGGTCTTTGACTATCTTTTCTGTGCCGTTTTTGTCTTTGGTCACCCATAAGTTATTACTCTTCATGTTGTAGTACATAAATCTTATATCTTTTTGGATTTCTTCCCCCTTTTTTCTGATTATTCTTCTATCATACTTGTATTGAGAGATTTATCTTCAAGCTTACGAGTTCCGTCTACCATTGATTCATACCTACTCCTTTGCCCTTTCAGTGTCTTGTCCATTTCTGAAATCTTAGTATTAATCTTCTGGATTTCTATTTGCAGACTTTGTATTGTCGCCAATCTTTCATCTATGTTTATTGTTGTTGTTAATGTAGGGTTTCCCTGAATTCGTCCTTGTTTTCTCTCAGTCACTTGAAGGGCACTTAAATCTCACTCTCTGGAATTTTTTTTTCAGGTAGTTTCACCTGTCTTTTTTTTTTTTCTTAAAAACATTTTCTGGTTCTAGGTACAACCAACTCTAATCTTGCCTCATAAAGGTTAGGATTTATAACGCATGGCACAAAATGGAGAGTGTATGTTAGTAAAAAGGGCATGGGGGGGTGGCTGAGCTCCTGTCCCTTCATAAGGAGGACATTGAGCCTTATCCGCTCAAGGCTGACTTCTGTGAGGCACAGATGAGTGAGTGCCTCCAGCGTGTCATCAGTTTGTTGAAAGATTTCAGCTTATAATTCCAATGTCTAACCAGTTGGATGCCTCCTGCCCCTTTCACAGCGAACCCTGCGTCTCAGCTGTGCTCAGTAATTCATCATAGTGCCCACACACAATCTACAGACCGTACTTCACAATTGTGGTGCTTACTAGGGAAGTTAACAGGTTACAATTCAGGATTACAGATGTTCAGGATACAGTTCTTCAGCCTGAACAGCTTCTTCTCTTCTGTACCCTCAGGCTGGCCTCTTTCTGGCCCCCAGCTCCCTGTCTTGGCCTCTGCCCAGTTAGGAGGCTCTTTGAACAACGCCCAAAGCTTATGTCGCATTTCCATAAGCCTCCGCCCGAAGGTGCTTCATTCACTCAGCTCTGCGAGTCAGCCAGTCTAGCTCTTCGTTAAATGCTTGGAGGCACCCCACTCCACAAGTGAGTCTCCTGTGTAAAGGCCCTCAGCTGGACTCATTCTGTGGGGAGGGACTCCCACTGCTCTGTCTTGTCTCTGGCTGTTGGTTCTTACTTTGTAGCTCCTTTTCTACTCATCAGCCATCACAGCTGTCTCCTTTGTGGAAGAGGTTCAGTGTGCAGTGGTCTTGGGGTCCACAGGACGTGTTCCACTCTTTGCCTCTTCTTGATGGTAGTGAGAAGCTCAGATCTTGCTTCTGAGATGTCTCATTTTATACCCATAACAGAGTTCCAAGTTTTTACAATCACAATTAAACCTGTTAGCAACCACTCAACGGAATCATATAATCTTGTCAGCATCTTCTCCTATCCAGGTTTTAACCATCACAATTAACCCTGTTAACATGCGCTCATAACTGAATTATATAGTCGTATCAGCATCTTTTCTCACCTCTTTTACCCATCAAGAAGCCCTAGTGGCATAGTGCATTATGCATTCTGCTTCTAATCTAAAGGTCAGCAGTTCCAAACCACCCGCTGCTTTGCATGAGAAAGATGAGGCTTTCTGCTCTCTTTAAGATTTACAGTCTCAGAAACCTTGTAGAGTGTCGTTATGAGTCAGAACTGACTCGATGACATGCAACAACAACCCAGACCAATCAGGAAAAAAAGTTTGGTGGGAGTTAACAAAAACAATGGGTAGGAAAGTCATATGAAATAATTCACTGCACTGCAATGTTGTTTGTTGTTAGGTGCCGTAGCGATGCTGTGCATAGCAGAACGAAACACTGCCTGAGCCTCAAAATCAGTTGCTACACCTGAGCCCATCGCTGCTGCCATTATGCCAATCCATCTTGTTGAGGGTCTTCCTCTTTTTCTCAGACCCTCCACTTTACCAAATAAGATATCCTTCTCCTGGGACTGACCCCTCCTGATAATCTCTGAAGTGTATGAGAGAAGTCTGATCATCCTGGCAGCTAAGAAACACTCTGGCTGTACTTATTCCAACACAGATTTGTTTGTTCTTTTTGGCAGTCCGGGGACTTTTCATATTCTCCTCCAACACCATAACACGAACTCTTCTACAGTCTTCCTTATTCACTATCCAACTTTTAAATGCATAGGAGGTTATTGAAAATACCATGACTTGGGTCAGCACACCTTAGTCCTCAAACTGACCATCTTTGCTGTTGAACACTTTGAAGAGATCGTATGCAGCAGATTTGCCTAATGCAATACATTGTCTGATTTCCTGTCTCCTGCTTTCACGAGTGTTGATGGTTGATCCAAGAAAAATGGAAATGTCTTTGACAGCTTCAGTCTTCTCTCCATTTATATGGATGTTGTGTAGTGGTCCAGTGGGGAGGATTTTTGTTTTCTTTTTGTTGAGGTGCAACCCATACCAAAGGCTGTGGTCTTTATCAGTATTTTAAGTCCTCTGGCTTTCAGCAAGCAAGGTTGTATCATTTGCATGTTGCAGCTTGTTAATGAGTCTTCTTCTAAACCTGATGTCATCTTCTTCTTCATATAATCCAACTTCTTGGATTATTTCCTCAGCATACAGGTTGAATAAGTATGGTGAAAGAATACAATCCTGTTGCACACCTTTCCTAATTTTAAACCATTTGATGTTCCCTTGTTTTGTTTGAACAACTGCCTCTTGGTCTATGTACAGGTTCCTCATGAGCACAATTAAATGTTCCGGAATACTTATTCTTTGCAATGTTGTCCATAGCTTGTCATGAGCCACACAATCAAAAGCCTTTGCATAGTCAATAAAACACAGGTAAACATCTTTCTTGTATTCTTTGCTTTCAGCCAAGAACCATCTGATGTCAGCAATGATAGCCTTCATTCCATGTCCTCTTCTGAATCTGGCTTGAAACTCTGGAAGTTCTCTGTATCTCTAGCAAAATTTTACTTGCCTGTGATATTAAAGGTATTGTCTGATGATTTCTGCATTTTGTTTGGTCACCTCTCTTTGGATTGGACACAAATATGAATCTTTTTTAATCAGTTGGCCAGGTAGTTGTCTTCAGAATTTCTTGGCATAGATGAATGAGTGCCTCCAGTGTGTCATCAGTTTGTTGAAAGATTTCAATTTATGATTCCATCAATACCCGGTGCCTTGTTCTTTGCCAGTGCCGTCAGTGGAATTTAGACTTCTTCCTTCAGGATCATTGGTCCTTTTTTTTTTTTTTTTTTAATGTTTTATTGTGAATTACATGATAGTTTCCATGGGGGAACTTTAGTTTTACATTCATTCCATCTTATATCATCTCATTGCCACAGGATCATTGGTTCTTAATCATTTATTGCCTCTTGAAATGATTGAACATCAATTTTTTTTTAATACAGTGACTGTGTATTCCTACCATCTTCTTTTGATTATCCCTGTATCACTCAATATTTTGCCCATTAAATCCTTCAATATTTCAAGTCAAGCCTTGAATTTTTTCTTTAGTTCCCACAGCTTGAGAAATGCTGAGTGTGTTCTTCCCTTTTAGTTTTCTAACTCTAGGTTTTCCACAGTTCATTATAATGTTTGACTTTGTCTTCTCGAGCTGACCTTTGAAATTTTCTGTTCAGCTCTTGTACTTCCTCATTTCTTCCATTTACTTTAGCATCTCTGTACTGGAGAGCAAGTTTCAGAATCTCTTCTGACGTCCATTTTGGTCTTTTCCTTCTTTCTGATCTTCTTAATGACATTTTGATTTCTTCACGTATGATATTCTTGATGTCATCCCACAACTCTTCTGGTCTTTAGTGTCTAATACATCAAAACTGTTCTTGAGATGATCTCTAAATTAAGGTGGGATATGCTCAAGGTCATATTTTGACTCTCATGGACTTGCACTGCAGAGAACAACCACATAGTACAGGGAATCATGGTCTACTTAGTTGACGCATATTTGGGGGAATACATTAAATCCATGACACCAGGCATACCCTCATCGTGGCTGCAGGGCTCAGGGGTGCCCAAGGGCGCAGCGGTGGAGGAAGTGATTGCCCTGCATTGCGCCACTCCTGGAGGCCGGGAGTCTACATTTCCACCATAGGGTGGTAAGGAAGCAGAGGCTAACTGGTGACTCCCAGAGCTTTGGGCTTTCCTGCCAAGAGGTCCCCAAATAGCCCTAAGGAGAGGGTCACGGGAAGCAGCATTCTCAGATACGTGGCTTGAGAACCCCTGCCTCAGGAAGATGCTTGGGTGTCTGCCTTTCCTCACGGGAAATGGGATTGTGTGTGTTTCAGTGCCAAGATGGCTGCCCAGGTGACCCTGGAGGATGCATTATCCAACGTGGATCTCCTGGAGGAGCTGCCCCTGCCTGACCAGCAGCCCTGCATCGAGCCCCCACCCTCCTCCCTACTCTACCAGGTGTGTCCCCGAGCCCCCATCCACCTGCCTTGTGCCCCACTGCTGGGACACACAGCAGCACCTGCAGTGTCTACCTTTTCTCTTCCTTCTAGCCAAATTTCAACACTAACTTTGAAGACAGAAATGCTTTTGTCACCGGCATTGCGAGATACATTGAACAGGCCACTGTCCACTCTAGCATGGTAAGTCTGTCCTGTGTTCCTGGAGGGTGGCGTGGGTGATGACCTGGTGTAACAAATATGTAGTCAGGAAAGAGAGAGGGGATTGAATGAAAGGCTTTATTGTTTTTAAGTAAGTCTTTTTAATTAAAATAACATGTGATTTTAATAAAATCTTGGTGGCGCTTGTCAACATCCTGAGGGGGAGCCCCTTCCCTATTGGCTCTCCCCTTTCCTTATAAACCTAAACTCACACTCTGAGTATACACCCACTTTGGAATTTAGATTTTGTAACTGATTTGTATTATTAAGATGATGACAACAGTTTAATGATTTCATGAACACTTTAACAGATCATTGAAATGTGATAGAAAAGCATTTTTTTCTTAATGGCTGTGTAATCCATTTTGTAAATGTATGAATTTGTTTAATTACTGTTGGGTGTTTACTTCGTTTCCCTTCTTCTCATGGAAAAAAATCTTGTGACCACTTCATTATTCCCTTTGGCTTTGTAGAAGCAAAATTGCAGCTCAATGGTTGTGAGCTTAATTTTAAAGGCCATTTTCACCTTTAAGGAAATCCATTTTAAAGCATCTTAAAAGCATTATCCATTTGCAGTTGACATTTTAGCAAGCATCTATGTAATTTTTATCTTTTTACCTCGGGAAAATTATGAAGGGAAGAATAAAACAGTAGAGCAGGTTCTAGAAGTTTTGGTATCCCTCTTCTTGCATACACACTCTCCCTGTAAGTTCTGCAGAAACACTTGGTCTCTTCTTTGCATGTGACCGGCAGCGGTCAGCCTTTTGAGCCTTTGCTGCTGACTGAGGCAGCTCGTGTGGGGCACAGAGGCCCCTGTGGTACTGCACATGCTCAGGCTGCAGTTACCCTACCCGCAGATCATCTAGGTGGGCTGAGATCAGTCCGAGTGTGGCAGACCCAGCAAGGAGGGTTTTGTTTCTGGGTTCCTGAGCACCTCCCGCCCTGTCCGCAGTACCACCAGCTCCCTTTGGTCAAGCAGGTCGGAGTCCTGGAGTCTGTCCAGCTCAGGGGGAGATTCGGAAGAGCTGCTGCCTGTTTGTCTAGGTTTTAGCAGTTTGGCATTTATATGACTGTTACCTGCTTCCTTTGGGGGCTTCCATCGGCCTGCCTTTGACTTGCCCTGTGTGTTCCGTTGTAGAACGAGATGCTGGAAGAGGGTCAGGAGTACGCGGTCATGCTCTATACCTGGAGAAGTTGCTCCAGGGCCATCCCACAGGTGCCACCTGCCCTCACTTCCACCCGCCCCCTCATTTCCACCTGTCCCTGCTCCTACCTCCACGTCCTCATCTCCAACCTTCCTGTGTCTCCTTTCCCCACCACCCCTACTCCTCCCCACCTTCCTGTCTCCATTCCCCGCTTCTCCTCCATGCCTCCTCTGGGGGAGATGGCAGCCACTTCTGGCTGAGTTGCAGCCTCTTTGACACTTGCTGTCTTACTCCTGTGCTTACTCCCAGGTGAAATGCAATGAACAGCCTAATAGAGTGGAAATTTACGAGAAGACTGTGGAGGTCTTGGAGCCAGAGGTCACAAAACTGATGAATTTTATGTACTTCCAGGTAAAAAACATAAGAATCCAAAGGGTTTAGTGTGTGGTGTTCTGCCCTGGCATGAACTCAGTGAACACAGCTGTCAGAGCAACCACTGAGGGTCTGGGGCCAGTCACATAGCGTCTGTGCCCTTCAGAACAGTTGGAGAGTGACTACTCATTTCCCTTGACAGCTATACTGCTCAGCAGGACCACCTACAACGTTTTCTCTTTCTTCCCACTTGTTTGAATTCATCTCGTTCTTCAGATGTTTTCCTTCCCTGCTTTGACCTTGTTCAGGCCCACTGGGTTAGGCAAAGACTGGCCACAAGAATGGATTTGCTGGGTTTTAAAAGTTCTTTGGGAGTGTCTGAAGAGTTTCATTATAGATTCCTTTAGGGAAAAAAAAAAAAGAGAAAACTTACTGGAGATACTTTTTTTGTTCACTAAATTTACAAGTTGTTAACAGGGAAAAATCTCTCATTTTATTTCTGAGAGTTAAACCATCTATTTTATAGATGCTGTATTATAAATATCTTTGCTGAAATCCACGAAAATCCCCTTACTTGAGGAATGTGAAATCAGTCATTGTTGTTACAGAGCATTTGTGACTGGAAACGTCTCTGATGTGGGCTTGCACAGGTGGTGAGCTCCCTGAGAGGTGCTCAGTTTGGCTGACCTGCAGTGGCCTCCACCAATGGGTGACCCTTTCCTTTCACTTCTCCCCTAGAGAAACGCCATCGAGCGCTTCTGCGGGGAGGTACGGCGTCTGTGTCACGTGGAGCGGAGGAAGGACTTCGTGTCCGAGGCCTACCTGCTCACCCTGGGCAAGTTCATCAACATGTTCGCTGTGCTGGACGAGCTGAAGAACATGAAGTGCAGCGTGAAGAACGACCACTCAGCCTACAAAAGGTGAGCCACCTGTGCATGCACTGGGTCTTGTAAGTGGGCAGTCAGCCAGGCCTGAGGGTGTTTGTGGGTATAGGTGGTCACCTGCCACAGGTGTGTGCTTGATGAGTGTGGGGTCATGGCTGCTGGTTGGCAGTATTCTCAGGTTTTAAGACATGCTCCTAGGTGTCAAGAGCAGGATGGTATTACTCGAATGTGGGGTCATGCCCAGTGCAATGCAAAACCAATACAGCCATACCCAATGAAGAGACAGAAAAGAGTTTAATCACTTATGCATAAGCCAAATATGAAGAGTTTAATCACTTATGCATAAGCCGAAAATAAACCGTATCAGCACTCCTTGAAGGTTTGTTTCAAATGTATGTGGCTAAACATTGAGTTTATGTATGTTTTGTAAAACCTAAAGTCTGTTTTGAACCACAGGATCGGGGATTCAAGCTCACTCACTGGCTGCTCCTCGGAAAGCCTGTACAGGGTTTCTGTGGGTTGGAACCAACTTGATGGCAATTAACAACATACACATCTACACATTCCATTTCCAAGGACAGAAATATTTTGATATGGGAGAGGAATGAAGAAAACTATTTTTTTTTTTTTTTAAGGTTTTATTGTGGATTGTATGAAAGTTTACAGGGCAGATCATCAGTTTTACATTCAACAAATTATACACCTTGTTTCATCACATTGATTATAATCCCCTCCAAGACCATCAGTTAACAGTATTTCTCTCTATTTACTTTAGCTCTTTTTTGGTTTTATTTTAAAAAGACAAAAACCACTTAGGCATATGTAATAATCTGCACCACCAAAGGCACATTCTGCAAGTCTGCCTCCTGACCGTAAGCTCTTAGTGCCTCCCTTCCCATGCATCTAGAGTCCTCAGCTGCTCCCTCTCTCCATGACCCCATCTCTGCCTCCATCTCTGGTGTCACTGCTTCTCTGGAAGAAAACATTTAATGACGGCTCTAAATATTATCTAGTAAAAATAACTCTGGGGGAGTACAGTTCTTCAAGGCTGACCTTGAAGTACAAGTTCTTCAAAGAAGATTATGTTAGAATCTCGCATACTCAAGTCTTGGGCCTGGGAATTTTATGTTAGTAATTTTTTTTATATATTGAGTCATTAATTCCCCCCTTTGAAGTTCTGATCCTCAAACGAGAGTTAGTGCATCAGAAACTTCACATTTATGGGCTAAATTTCAAAAGCTTTGAGCCTTGTTTTAGTGTTGTTAAGTGTCGTCGAGTTGGTTTTAACACCTGGCGACCCTGTATAGGGCTTCTGAGAAGCAGCTGGTGGGTTTGAACCACCACCTTTGCAGTCCAGTGCATTATCCTGCAATACCACACCAGGACTCCTGTTTTAGTGTGGGACCTGAAATTGCCTTGAAAAGAAGGTCGTGGGAACCTGTAAAGAGCACAACACATGGGGAGAAACTGAATAATACAACAGACTCTCAAGCCAGTGAACAGAAATAGAGTAAAGCAGATAATTGGGTTTAGTCATCCCAAGTTGGACAACCAGGAGGTCAGCAAACTGTAATTAACCCTTTGCTACCCAGCCTCTTGACATGAGCTATAAAGAATCTTTTCCCCCTTCTCTTCGATGAGCCAGGAGTTGTCAGCCAAATGGAAACAATGCTGTTGTCGTTAAATTCCATTTAGTGGGTTCTGACTCATAGTGACCCTGTATAGGGTTTCCAAGGAGTGGCTGGTAGGTTTGAACTGCCGACCTTGCGCTTATGAGCCTAGTACTTATCCTACAGCACCACACCAGGACCTCATTTGAAACAATACATACCCTTAACTTCTTCGCGTTGATGGTGTGTCGGAGTAGCAGATAATAGCTGCTTTATTTGTTAATACAGATTTCCTAGTTCCTGACTGATGGCGTTGATAGTCTGTGAGGTAGAATTTAAGGCTTTGCTGCCCCACAAGCTAATTTATGTATCATTTTTGCTAATCCAGTGGTGAACCCTGGCGATCCTAAAATCAAGGTGGCAAGGGAGCTGTATTCACCTTTACTCAAGAGGTGTAAATTTGAGTCACATTTCTCATCTGAAGTTAGTGCCCGAATTCCCCTGGAGCAGTGAGAAAGACAAGAATTGAAGATAATGTGTAACTTTTCTCAGGAAACACAGTTCTCTGGTGGTGTTAGTCAGAATACAGGTAAATACTTGTCTTCTACTAACAAGAACCAGCTGAGGAGGATTTCATGTGGGCCAACAGCATAGCTTATAAGGTTAACCTGCAGAACTGTTGTTATGAAAAACAGCCTTTAAATCTCAGGATGGGTTTCAAATTTATGGCAAGACCCTAAAACGGTGATCTGCATTTAGACTTCCTCCTTCCACACATTTTTCCTCTGGATGATGGATTTAATTTAAAATCCTTTAGATTACACTTAAGTTGGTATGCTTTCTTCTGCATGAACTGGTCGATGGCCCCTTTCAGATTGCTGCTTGTATTACGACAGAGCTTTAAGACCCCAGCTCTCTGGGCTAATGCGCTGGACTGAAAAGTCACTATGAACCACAAGGTCAGCGGTTCAAGCTTAGCAGCTGCTCCTCAGAAGCCCTGTAGGGTTGCTATAGGTCGGAACTGATTTGGTGGCACTTAACTATCCTTTTGATATCTGTGTTGTTGTTGTTGATACCTGTACACCATTTTAATTCTTTACAGTACTTTACTAAGGCACCCAATTTTCTTCGGTCCCTTTAGGGAAAGTTCGTTCGGACCACATCAGAAGAACTGCTTGGTTATTATGTAACTAGGAAATCTTTAAAGCAGGGACTCAAGTCTGTTGGTCATAACTACAAGTATGAGCAATGTCGTCAGTTACTGTTTGTATAGTGGCAGCTACATTTTTAACGGTATGTGCTGAACCGACTCTGTATCAAGAGAAGAAAGGCTTATTCAAAAGGAGTAACCTGAGCTAGGTGGGACATAGCTTAAAGTCCACGGGCCTAAGAAGACCATGCAATGCCATATGTAATACGCTGGAAGAAAAAACAAATTACCAGTCTAGAATCGCATATTCTAAGAGCATATGTGGAAAAGCCAGAGCCCGTGGCACCCTCAGTGTTGTTGAGACTGTGATGTTCCATTAGTCTGTTGGACTAATTGATTCCAGGGCTCTTCAGTTCTTATCACTCTTCTTTCTTCTGCACATGAAGAGACCAATAGCTGCCCCTTTATACAAAATATTGCCACCTCTTTTTGTTTTTGATGGCCACTAGCTTGATAAATCTTTGATTTTTTTAGTGTCTTTGTATATAGGGTGTGTCTCATAGACAGCCTATTGAAGGATCCTGTTATTCATTCTGCTCTGTCTCTTCATTGGTACATTTCAATCTGTTGACCTTCAGTATAATTGTCGATAGGTATTATCAGGAGGAACCAGTCTCTAAAGGGGAAGGATATCATGTTTGGTAAAGTGGAAAGTTGGAGAAGTAGACCCCAATGAGATGGATTGGCACAGTGGTGGCAGCACTAGGCCCAGGCGTAGTGATAATTGTGAGGTCGGCCCAGGAACAGGCAGTGCTTCATTCAGTTTTGCATAGGGTCGCTATGAGTGGTACCGACTCGATGGCACCTAACAACACCATGAATTGATTGCAGTCATTTTACTGCCAAGTTCATTGTTCGTGTGTTTTCTTTGTAAATTTTTTCACTGCTTTTGTTTTAGTTTATACAAAAACTTAATAGAATTTGCTTTTTCTTGATTTAATGTGAAGTTGTATCAAGTTTCTTTGAGGTTACCCTGTGATTTATGAATTTCTTCCTCATTTTAAAACAGTCTGTATCATCTTGAAATCTACTTGACTTCCTCGCCATTTGGAATTCTGTAACTATACTTTTTCCGTCTTATTGCTTTGTAGTTTTCTTAGTTCTAAATGGATTATCTCTGGTTCCCTGTTTTCAATCTTGTAAATTTATTTTACTTTGGACACTTGTATATCTGTATGACAAAAGTATTGAAAAATTTTTGTTTTACTTTGGATACTTACACATCTGTATTGGAGTCCTGGTGTGGCGCTGCAGGTTAATGTGCTGGACTGCAAAGTCGGTTTGATCCTCAAAGTCGACAACTCAAACTTACCAGCCACTTCTCAGAAACCCTATACAGGGTTGCCATGGGTCTGAACTGACTCATTGGCACTTCACAGCAACACCAACATACCTGTATTGAATTCTGGATGGTGTTGCCATGTATGTCAATCTCCGGTGTGGACTGCTATTGTTGGTTCTCTATCCAGAGGACTCCCTTTAGTATTTTTTGTAAAACGGGTCTAATTTTTACTAATTCCATTCTTTGTTGTTTATGTGGAAATGTTCTAACTTAACTGTCATATTTCAGGGACAGTTTTGGTGAATATATAATTCTTGGTATGCTTTTTTTGTCTTTCAGAGTTTTGTTTATCTCTTCCAAGTGCCTTCTTGCTTGCTTGGTTTCTGCTGAGAAATCAGATCGTAATCTTACTGGTTCTCCTTTGTAGGTAACTTTTCATTTTTACTGAGCTGCATTCTGGATTCTTTTAATTTTCTGGATTTCTATTGGCAGGTTTTGTATTATCTCCAATCCTTTATCTGTTTTGACTGATGATTCCTATAGTGCTTTCCTAAATTCTGCCTTTTGTTCCTCGACCTTTCTGTTGATCCTTTGGATGTGTACCTAAACATTATTCTTTTGAAATCTTTTTCAGGTCATTCTGCTGTCTTTTTTCCCTGTCTTGCCTCTGGTCTCCAGGGGTATGTAGGGAACAAAAAAAAGAATTATACCTTTGTGTCTACGAGACAACTGTGTGTTCCTGTACCATCAGTAACTTTTCTTGCTTCTGAAGCTGCTCACAAAAGCTGCAGAAGGCTGAACCCATCTGGTGGCTGGCTCACAGCACCAATCTCTCATTTTTCTATGTCTGCTCAGCTTTCTCTCCTAGTACGCATTTAATCCACTTCTCTCTCCCTTCATCTGAAGTTCAGAGGTCCAGGACCTCTGTTTCATATGGTTATCCGCATCTTTGTTGTAGAGGGGCCATACAGCCTTTTTGCCTAGTCTGCCAGCTTGCCACCTTCCCTTTCATCTTCATTTGATGCTTTCTGCATCCTTCAATATTGTTTTCATGTGTTGTTAAAGTGGTGTCAAGTTGATTCTGACTTAAGTGATAGTGATCCTGTATAGAGCTTCCAAGGAGTTGGCCATGTGGTTCACATCTACCTTGTAGCTTTGCCCAAAGCTTTGCCCAAAGACCAAAGGTGTCTGTGCCTTGGTAGGAAATTGAAATAGCCACAGACCAGACAGATGTGGAAGAATAGATTCACAAAGAGGGATAGTTCTATTTCCTGGGAACTTTGCAAAGTACATTTTGAAAAGAGTGAATTGTCATTTCAAGAGGATCAACTATAATAATATGATGAGTAGAAAAATGGAGTTAAAAGATAATGGAATTTTCCACATTTTGAGACCTTTGTATAAATGATGGTGTTCTGTGTCATTATCCTGCAGTGTCACATCAGGACTAAATTTATTCATGGAATCCTTCAGTATTGAAAGTTGAGACTTGAATTTTTCCTTCAGTTCTTTCAGCTGGAGAAATGTTGAGCGTGTTCTTCCCTTTTGGTTTTCTAACTCCAGCTCTTTGCACATTGTATTATAATGCTTTACTTTGTCTTCTTGAGCTGCCCTTTGAAATTTTCTGTTCAGCTCTTTTAATTCCTCATTTCTTCCATTTGCTTTAGTGTGTCTATGCTGGAGAGCAAGTTTTAAGAGTCTCTTCTGACACCTGTTTTGGTCTTGTATTTTGAATGACCTTTTGCTTTCTTGTATGATGTGCTTGATGTCATCACATAGCTCTTCTGGTCTTTGGCCATTAGTGCCTAATGCATCAAGTCTATTCTTGAGATGGTGTCTAAATTCACATGGAATATGTTCAAGTTTCAATTTTGGCCCTCGTGGACTTTACATTTTCTTTCGTTTCATCCTAAACTTGCATATGAGCAATTGATCATCTGTTTCACAGTCTAGCTCTGGCCTGGTTCTGGACCTTGTGTTCTGCTGGGCTTTGGTGTACAGTTGCTTTCACATACACTGTCCCTATTTGATGATTATTATGCTAGTCTTGTTGCATGTTGGTTATTGTTGAGCTAAGTGGGATTAGGAATGTTAAGAGGAGGGTTACCTAAGACAGACCTGCTAGCTGCTGATAGAACCAAAACTTTGTCTCAGGAGTGTGGGTACCAAAGCTGTATGTGGTTCCTGAGGCAGCATCTTCAGGGACATGAGATGCAGGTGGTTCCCAGGCTGACTGGTGTGTACTCACGAGGGTGGTACGTGTTATCTCTGAAGAAGACCATCAACTGCAGATAAGCAGGGTTATTTCTGTTGAGTACTATGTAAGACAAGTCTAATTCGACAAAGACTGACCTGGGAATCCTGGGCTGGAGAAACTTGAAGAAGCTAAAGTTGTAACTGGTCTCTAAGGTGGAAATTCCTGTATGCCATTATCCAGAGAATAACATAATCCTCATTTTCCCAAGGCTTTATTTTATTTTTTTGTTTTCAGATCATTGAGTACATGATGCATTTTGGAATTAACTGTGCTCATTGCTTTTAAAGGGCGGCTCAGTTCTTACGGAAAATGGCGGATCCACAGTCCATCCAGGAATCCCAGAATCTGTCCATGTTCCTGGCGAATCACAACAAGATTACGCAGGTACGGCCCTTGTCACATCGCCCTCCCTCTGCATGTGCTGGCCAGGCGGTTGATGGGCGTGTCACTGCTTTGTGTTTCAGTCTCTGCAACAACAGCTTGAAGTGATCGCTGGCTACGAAGAACTTCTTGCAGACATTGTGAATTTGTGTGTGGATTACTACGAGAATAAAATGTACTTGACACCCAGTGAGAAACACATGCTTCTTAAGGTACATGTGGAGGCGGCTGCCCGTGGCATTGCCAAAAACAGCGTATGCTTTGATTGACATGCTGGGCTTTCTCTAGAATCCTTTCACCAACTTTTAAAAAAATCATTGTGTATGTACAGCTTTTCCAACTCTCACATGCAGTGTGCACACCGCCCCAGGGCTGGAGGGTTACTCTTAGTCTTGGAGCGGTTGCTGCACATTTTGGCACAAGGGTCCTGGGGTGAGATACATAGGATTTTACTTTTAAGGATGTAATTCTTGGAATAAAATACTCTCAAGTCGACTTAGAGTCAAGAGAATGGCTGTTCTCCTTACTCTTTAGCGTTATTATATTTCACATTTGGGGGGTTTTCAACTACGTACTTCATTGCAAAGATGAGAAGGACAGCCCTGAGGGCACCTTTGTTGGGTGTCCCCACTGGTCCAAGCTCTTCAGCAGGGGTAGGCCAGTAGCCAGAGCTTTGACCAAAGACCAAAGGTGTCTGTGCCTTGGTAGGAAATTGAAATAGCCACAGACCGGACAGACGTGGAAGAATAGATTCACAAAGAGGGATAGTTTTATTTCCTGGGAACTTTGCAAAGTACATTTTGAAAAGAGTGAATTGTCATTTCAAGAGGATCAACTATAATAGTATGATGAGTAGAAAAATGGAGTTAAAAGATAATGGAATTTTCCACATTTTGAGGCCCTTGTATAAATGATGGTGTTCTGTGTCATTGAGTTGGTTTTGGCTCTTAGCGACCCTGTATAGAGTTTCTGAGAAGCAGCTGGTGGATTTGAACTGCTGACCTTGTATTTAACAGTCCAGGGCCCTCATATAAGTGCTTATGTTGTTGTGAAGTGCTGTTGAGTCAACTCTGACTCATAGCAACCGTGTATAGGGTTTCCGAGGAGCAGCTGGGGGGTTTGAACTGCTGACCTTGTGGTTTACAGTCCAATGCTGATCCTACAGCACCACAATTGGAGTCCATAAGTGCTTTGTTGTTGTTGTTGTTAAGTACCATGGAGTCGGTTCTGACTCATAGTGACCCTGTACAGGGTTTCCGTATGGGTAATTATATTTCCAGGTCTGTTTTATTGCAACATTCTGTGGATTTTCAGGTCATGGGCTTTGGTCTTTACTTGATGGATGGAAGTGTCAGTAATATCTATAAATTGGATGCCAAAAAGAGAATCAACCTACCTAAAATTGACAAGTACTTCAAGGTGAGTTAAATCTTTAAAATAAACTCCTTTTCCATTGACGTATAGCATTCTTAGAGAGTGAACGCATCCTCAGTGCCCGCTTGAGGTTTTGTGAAATATACACTTTGTGTGAGTGTAACTATACCAGGAAGTAAAGGTGTGTGTGTGGGGGTGGGGGCATGCTGGCAGCTTTATAACCCCTGCACCTTCCCCCTCCCTCCCCGAGGACCCCTCCTTTTTCCCACATTCACTTTGCCTGTTTGTAATCACCTTTGTTTGTACTCTTGTGCACCTGGCTGCTTTCAAACAACCTTATGCTATGGCCTATAACCATTGTTCATAGGTTTTTGTTGTGGTGTAGTATTCCCTTTTGTGATTATCCTGTAATTGTGCCTTTTACTCTTGACGGACTGGGGCTCTTTCTGGTTTCTGGTTAGTACCGATGCTCTGAAATTCCTGATATGTAATTAAAACACAGGTGTGCACATTTCTATTGGCTGATGCCTGGGAGTGGCATTTTAGGTCATGGGACATAAATATTTTCCATTATTAGTAGATAGAGCCTAACAATTTCCCAGATGATTGGGCTGATTTTCATTCCCACCAGCAAATAACCCTGTACTAATCCTGACTCAGCGTAACAAAGGTAACCCATTCCAACGGGATTATAACCACAGGTTGGGGTTTACAGATTTTAGGGGAAGACAGTTCATTCCATAATAAAGCATAGCATTCAGTACAAAGTCACTGTCAACAGTAATAACTATTGTTAACTAACTTGAAGACACTTAATACCAACAACAGTGGAGTCTCACAGAACTTTTTGTTGACTTTTGTCAAACGTTTGTATCCATAGCCAAACTGTGGTGGCAATTCAATCCATGATTTTGGCAAATGATGTTGCATCCTAATCTGATCACTCAGGTGTCCACAAGTTATGTATTTGATGACCCAAACATACATAGTGACCTTTTTATTTTGTATTTTTTGAATGCAGCAGCTGCAGGTAGTTCCTCTGTTTGGAGACATGCAAATAGAACTGGCAAGATACATAAAGACCAGTGCCCACTATGAAGAGAACAAATCTCGGTAAGGATAACGCTTTTGGAGTGTCTTTGTTGAATGGTTTTTATTGCACCCTATTTATTCATGTGTGGCACTGTGGGCTAATGCATCAGACTGCAAAGTCGTTTGAACTTTAAGGTCGCTGGTTCAAGCTCACCAGGTGCTCCTTGGAAACCCTATACAGGATTACTATAGGTCAGAATGAGCTCAACAGCACTTAACAACAACTTACTGATTAGTGATACAATCAATCATTGATGGTCTCAACTGTCGGGACTGAACTATCTAATAAAGTAACCCTTATTACCTGTTCGTTGTTGTTTGTCATTGAGTCAAGTTGGTTCTGATGCACAGCGACCCTGTATGTAGTTTCCAAGGAGCTGCTGGTGAGTCTGAACCGCCAGCCTTACAGTTCAAACCAACCTTTTAGTCCAGCACATTAACCCACAGCGCCACACCAGGATTATAGTAAATTTAAATTTATTTAAAAAAAAAAAAAATTTCTTTCCTTAGCACTGCTACATTGCAGATGCTCAGTTGCTCTTGGCTGTTGTATTGGGTTCCTCAGCTGTGGAACATTCCCATCATCCCAGAGTGCTCAACTGAACAGTGCTGAGTGAGTCTTTAGAATGGAGACCAAGTAGTATTGTTGTTGAGTACGCTTGAATCATCTTTGATACATAGTGACCCTGTATCGCGTTTCCAAGGAGCGACTGGCAGGTTTGAACCATTGACCTTGCAGTTGTTGTTAGGAGCCATCAAGTCACTACCGACTCATAGCGACCCTGTGCACAACAGAACAAAACACTGCCCGGTCTGGGCCAACCTCACAGTTGTTGCCACGCTTAAGCCCACTGATGCTGCCACTCTGCCAATCCATCTCACTGGGGGACCTTGCAGTTAGATGTTTTTAAGTGCCATCAATTTGGTTTTGCCTCATTGCCATCCTATATAAGGTTTCTGAGGAATAACTGGTGAGTTTGAACCACCAACCTTGTGGTTCAAAGTGATCGTATAGTCAAGTGCTTATCCTACAGCACCACACCAGGACTCTTATGGTTAGTAGTCCAGTGCTTATCAGAGAGTGTAACACCAGGACTACTCCAGAAGAGTAAAATTATTCTCTAGGTACAGTGGAGCCCTGATAAATGTTTATCGATCTCCTTTGTCCATATGTGCCTTTTATGTTGTTGTTTTCAAGTGTCGTGAAGTCAGTTCTGACTCATAGCAACCATGTATAGGTTTTCTGAGGAGAGGCTGGCGGGTTTGAACCACCAACCTTGCGGTTCAGACTTTGCGGTCCAGTGCTTACCCTACAGCGCCTCACCAATGGTATATGATAGAGTTGGCAAAACTATCCACCGAGGGACAAACTTTGCTCAAGCATGCTTTTATAGGTTTTTTGAGCTGATGATTTTATGTATTTAAAGAGTTTGTATTTTTTTTGTTTTTAAGGGAGGAGGAGAAGGAGGAAATGGACAGAAAGGACATAGACGGTCCACAAATTGTAAAATATTTGTTCGCTGATCCTTTGCTGTAAACGTTGATTGACCCTTGCTATAAGGATCTGTAGAACAAAATTAAATGATGTATACACAATAAAAAAACACCACACAGACCCACTGCCATGGAATCGGTTCCGGTTCATAGCAGCCCTGTCTAGAGTTTCTGAGAGTGTAAATCTTTCCAGGAATAGACAACCTTCATCTTTCTCCTTCAGAGAGGCTGACAGGTTTGAACCGCTGACCATGCTTATCCCAAAGTGCCACCAGGGGTCCCAAACCTCAAACTTCACAATCATGAAGACGATGCAGAAACAGTGATGTGATCTTCTGTTGTACATAAGGTCACTGAGTGGGGAAGGACTGGAAGACCACTAACAAGTATCATAAATTCCACATCACTAATTGAGAGGACATCTTCCTTCAGTATCATTGGAATTGATGGGAATAGAAATTGAAATCTTTCAAGAAAGTGAGGCGGCACAGGAGGCACTCACTCACTTATCTCTGCCAAGAAATTTGGAAGACAACTATCTGGCCGACTGATTGATTGGAAGAGATCCATATTTGTGCCCATTCCAAAGAGACATGACCCAATGGAGTATGGAAATCATCGGACAATCTCTTTGATATCCCATACAAGTAAAGTTTTAGTAAAGGTAATACAGAAACAGCTATAAGCATACATTGACAGAGAACTTCCAGAGGTTCCAGCTGGATTCAGAAGAGGCTGTGAACGAGAGATATCACTGCTGATGTATGATGGATCTTGGCTGAAAGCAGAAAATATCAGAAAGATGTTTACCTATGCTTTATTGACTACGCAAAGGCTTTCAGTTGTGTGGATCATGACAAGCTATGGATGACATTGCGAAGTATGAGTATTCTGGAACACTTAATTGTGCTCATGAGGAATCTGTATGGACCAAGAGGCAGTTGTGCGAACAGAACATGGGCACACTGAATGGTTTAAAATTAAGAAAGATGTGCGACAGGGTTGTATTCTTTCGCCATACTTATTCAACCTGTATGCTGAGCAAATAATACGAGAAGCTGGGTTCTATGAAG